GTAAATTAAATCATTTACATCTGCTGATTTGTCAAGTCTACAAAACATTCAAAAAAAACAGGTTTTAAAGGATCTCAGTTAGCTTAAGAGCACTTAAAGGTAGATTCAGATGATCTTAAAGGGTCCAGATCATTTAAACATATTTGTGTTTTATACACAATTGGTCTAAGTAGATTCCTGTGATCTCTATAATACCACAAACCTATATTTGTACACACATTGACATACAAAAAAAAATTTAATTTTGTTACAACCGCTTTTAAACTTTACCCCGTCCCTCTCGTTCCAAAATTAGTTTTTTTTTAGAAATTAGTTTTTTTTTAAAAAAAATTACATTTAATAAAATCAAGAAATATTCTTGGGGATTTTAATAAAAAAAAATTTTTTCACAACGCCATCAAATCTACAGATCTTTTTTTCAATTAAAAGTAATTAACGCACCATATTTATGACATCTGCTGCAAATAGTAGGCTTAACAACAAGAAAGTCTTGAGTAAATATTAATAATATAAACTCTTTTAATAGACTGTCACCTTTTAAGCAATATATTAAGTACAAATATGTACAATATTACCAACTAAAATCAAATAAGTGTGTCGCAATATTTGTTATCAGTAATTAATATTTAAATTGTTTTGCTTTTAAAATATTTGGCATTATAAAAATTTATTGTTGAAAATTCCCTCGAAAGTTTTTTACAAACGGCCAAGTAATATATAAAAAAATGATACATCTTGTGATAACAATATGAATAGTTATAAAATCATAGAATCGCTCCCACTTGAATGATCCAGACTATTTTCAGACCGTAACATTGACATATAAAGTCGCAATTGCTTTTAAATAATCATGACTCATACATGCTGAGATGCATGGAAGAGCTATACAGACACCTGCTGTAATTGAAAAGTTGTTATCAGCTATAAAAGAGAAATAATTCTATTTTTCAATACAAAATTAAATGACTAAGGTCACACAAACTAATTTGAACGGTAGCGGTTTGTGTTAAAAGGTTAGCCCCCACCTAATTATTGTTTAAAGTTTTCATGTATTCAATTCTGTAAAATATTCGCATATATTGTACGGCTCTTCATAAGCTATGAATATACTATACATTATTATTATTATTACTATTAACAAACTTATAACGTAATGATATATTACATCAAATATAGAAGCTGTAGCTACATACATATAGCATATTATGTAGTGTATACACATATAAGGCTTTTTAAAAAATCAGTGATAAATGACAGTAGTTTCGTTTTAGTTAACTTTTAAATAAATTTTCTTAAATAGTCGATTGAAACTTTTTACCAGCAAACTATAATTTTTGGTTTAGAAGTAAATAAAATTCAGTTGGCACTAAATCCTTCTGATTACGATGAATATCTCAGCTCCTTACAACGTAATTCAACAAATTGGTCATTATCTACTCTTGCTGTTGCAGATAATGCTTAATGTGTTGACATATAGTTATTGTAATTATTGTAGTTATTGTATTTGTTTTCTGAAATTGGTTTTTTTTTAATACCATTATATCAGAGATCCAAGATCGACGCATAATGTTGTTCTAGTTTTTTCGAAGTAGTTTCTCCTTATTATGCTACGTGTAACCCAAAACTTTAACTTTTCTGTTAATGGAGAATTCTAGTGTTTTGAAAGTGTTTTCTTTTCCAAGATATGGTAGAGCATTCAGGTTTCTTCTATGGTTGATTTTAAGTTAATGCTGAAATTCTTTGGAGAACGTTGATATTGATTCCAAATTATGTTTTCGATTAAATAGGGTCATACATAGTACAAGTTACCTTCCTCACATTTACTTCATATCTAAACATTCTGGAAAAATCAATTTATACTACATTAATACTCTCGTGCTACCTTTACAGATATACCTTTATAAGGAGATCTTCATTTACTATTCAAGGATTTTATTCACTATATTCGTAACTTGGAAATCATGGCATCATGACACCCACAATAAAAGCCGTTAAACCACTTTGGAATCATACCTTATAAGTTGTTACTTAATTTGAGGACACTAAGGAGCAGTTAGTGTTTTTAATGCATGTCGGACCGCAACGAATCTTAGAATCATTTCATATCATGATTCAATGTCTTCATATTGCTTTTAATTTTATATATATAGACAAAGCCTTCAGCATAGAAAGTATACCTTTGATTCACTGTTTTGTAAGCCTACAATGATAGTTATTTATGATTCATATACGGATAAATTTACCTGATTAATTTCAATAAACTCATTCCCGAAATGAAAATTTTGAAATATCGGAAATAGCTATTTTTAAGCTATACTTGTTGTCAAAGTTTTCACTTAAATTTGATAATCACAAAGTCTATAACATTATACAATAACCCACTTAAAACCAATAATATGTTTTATATATAATGTATAGTAAAGATCTTGTTTTTGTCAAAATCGCTCCTGGATCGACTATATAAGTACAGTTAATAGCATGACAATTCAACGATTTTAATTTAACTTTTATCTTATTTTATTCAAATTTTTAACAATCGATAACAAATGGAAACACTGCCCGGAAAGCTTCGGATGCAGAAATGCAAACCGAAAAAATGTAGGTTTTACTCTCCATCAATTAAAAAATAATTTTTGAAACGGTCATGTTGTTTGTTCATATTCTATTTTTGAAATTATCTCATAAATGTATATCTTTTACAATGTTACCACATAGAATATTCTGCTCTTATCTGGTAGTGGAGGTAAATTTTGAAAGATGCAATCAAACGTCAACTTACAAATAGTATGTCCTATTTCTGTACATCAACTACTACAAGGGATTGGTACCACTTTTATTAGTGGTTTTAGGGCAACGCAGCAACATGTACATTGAACATTCTGTTTTTTATATTTGACAATTAATTAGACTTTTTTCTATACAATAAATTAATATATTAAAATTCTGAAACTAATCTTGAATGATCACTGATATCATTGGACTGTCGCAGTATCACTCCAATTTTTATAATGCAGAAAGAATTCATCAGGTTTGTCAAAATTGTTTAATGGTCTACATAAAGTATGTATATTCTAAATCTACTGGATGAACTGAGTCCTTTTAATCATACCCGTCTATAGCTACTTGTTTGTCTGTTTCATCGGAAATCACTCTTTTAGTTTATAAGCTCTGCGAATGAAACTTAGCACACATATATTTTGGGAGCAAACGAATGTCCTCACCATAAACGCCTAAAACTTCAATAGCTAATAAGATATGAGCGTGGAAAATAAATATATAACTCCTCTTAATTCGTTTTATTATATATTTTATTATTTATATAGTATTACAGATTATATTTATTATCATATAAATGAAACCTTTACGTAGAATCAAAATTCTATGAAGGGTATCTAATGCTTTTAATTAGATAGATAAGCAATTCTATTTAATAAAACTAATAACGGCAAAAACCATAAACATTTAAAATAGTTTCAATACATTCAACCATTATTCTCAGCGGAACTAACATCTATCTAACATCTATCTACATTATTATAAACTGTATTTGGGAGAAAATTGTTCTAGCGATTGACTGAAATAATAGTTCATATATGCTTCTGTGGGAGAACTTATTTCATTCAAGGAAACAGTTTCCTTGATTGGCAGCACGCCACCAAGACTTTAAACATAGGCAATCCAATCTTTAATAATAGCGATCACAAATTCATCCAAGTAAATGTTTAGTGTTTTTCTATTACAAAAGACGTCTAATTAGAACTTTTCAATCATTTATATAAACAATAAATTCAACAGCTAGATCAGTCTGTTCCCAGAGTTGATCCAGTTATTGATGGGGTCATTCAAGTTATCTAAATTGTAAACTGTGTTCTGCAGTTTGTAATTAATTGATAATATTCTGAACGTTATACTTTAATAAGCATCTAAACATCATTATCAAAATTACATTAAGACCGAAAAGTTTTCGGAAATTCTCATTTAAAATTCGCGCGCTGTATATTTTTCGATATTTTAAGTTTATGTAGTTTGGCAGCACTGTCCTTAATTACTATGCCAAAAATGAGCGCGATCTGTCAGACAGTTCGTTTACGGCAGCTGTTGAAACCAGTTCACCTCAGTAGGGCGTTGCGAAAAAAACAATGGAAAAAAATATTGAACAAAGAGTTTGCATCAAATTTTGTGTTTCGAACGAAATTTCGTGTGCAGAATCGTTGCGAATGCTACAAAAGGCTTATGGGGAATCAGTTTTATCGAAAACTCAAGTTTATGAGTGGTACAAAGCCTTCCAGGACGGTCGTACGACCGTCGAAGACATTTCGCAACGCACTACTGAGGTGAACTGGTTTCAACAGCTGCCGTAAACGAACTGTCTGACAGATCGAGCTCATTTTTGGCATAGTAATTAAGGACAGTGCTGCCAAACTACATAAACTTAAAATATCGAAAAATATACAGCGCGCGAATTTTAAATGAGAATTTCCGAAAACTTTTCAGTCTTAATGTATTTACGGATATCGTTAAAAATTGTATACATTATTTCGATCATAAGTTTATTCGGTAAAAACTGTCCTTAACCGTTTGAATTTAAAATATGAATAAAATATGAATGGAATATATAATTTTTGGCATTAAAATGTGTTAAAATTTCTAAGTATTTTAAAATCTAATTTTTATTGAAATGATGTTTTCATTTACAAAAATTATTTACGCTTAATTAATAATTAATAATTAATTAATTAACTTTTTTTTAAGAAATATTATCGGCAAATTGACATTTATTATTCACTAAATTATACAACATATCCAAATTATACCCATTTTCAATTGAGTTGAATATTATTAAATAAAAAGTTATTACGAATTTAATTGTATATTTCAAAATATTTAAAGAGTCAGATATTTTTATATTGAAAACCGCCCCTGCGCCCCACGTATTCATTTATTTACTCGCTCTCTTAATTTCTGTAGTTTTATAAAAGTTTCTTAAGCTACTATTTTGAGCTCAGTACACTTGAAATTGCGAACACGAAGTATCTTTAGTGTAGGAGTTGACATCCAAAGCGTAGTTTACGTATGATTTACAGATTTAGTAAGTTCAGTAAATACTAAATAAATAGAAAGTGTTAAATATATAGTAAATTACGAGATTGTTACTTAAATTTTAAATGTGAAGTAAATATAAAATAGAAATATATTTGAATTAAATTAAATTAAAATTATGTTTATTTAAATTAACGAAGTGTGACACCATATATTACTACAAAAAATTCAAATAAATATAATTAAATGCGTGACACGATTTGAATTTCACCGGACTAACAAACTTGGTACTGGGAAGTATTTGACCTACTTCGATTCCAAACTTAACTTAGAATAAAAACGAGTTTATTAACCCTTAAACTTATGTATTTAGTTCACAATTAGTATCTCGAAATAATCAAATCATAATTAATTGTTTAATTTTTCTGTAGCAACATATACATTTACATTAAATAAAACTTATTTAGCATTTAAATTTTAAATACAATAAGAAAAATATAAATAACTATTTCTCAAAAAAATTTTTATTAAGAACTGTGGTATTATTACATCGAAATCCACATTTTTAATGCAGAAAACAGATTGTCAACATTTTTGAAAGAATTCACAATTTTATTAATTATATGAAATTTTCTGCTTCACAATACAGTTGAAAAAAATAATTTTGAATATAATATTAATAAAACTAGAACATTTTGTTATAATTAACAAATGTGAATATCAGTGATTTACAATTTCGTGATCCATTCTCTGTTTTAATATAAGAGACAGTAAATAAATCGGGATGCACTACTTCTGTATAGTTTTTTACAAGGGTAGTTCTATTTTTTATACCAGCCAGCCACTTTCGTATCTCTATTAGTCGTAAAATTTCTTAACGCCTACCGGCGGATCCACTGAAATAGAGCTTTCAGTGTTACAGAAACGAAGTAACTTTTATTTATAATACTTATAATACATTAAATAGAATTACTGCAAACTACTATTCGCGAATAATGTTAATTATTTAACAAAATATTTTACGTTGATTTATTTTTTATTTCAAGATTATTTTATTTCAATTAAATTATACATGGAGAATAGAGAATCATGAAAATTGATGGAACAATATTTTATTAAATAAACTACCAATAAAAAACCTAAGCTTAGTTTTATGTTAAAAAATTAAATCCAGCTTATTTTTTGAAAGTAATTCTATGCTAATTCTATATTTTTGATTGATACAAAGGTATGTGTGGGCAAAACTGCTATACCTCAAATACTATTTAGTAGTATTTTTTTTATTAGTAGTATTATTAGCTTTATTTTTAAGTCATTTTAAAATTGTTGTATTACATAGAAATTAATAACAATTACATTATATACATAAAGCTTACAGCTATGACATTTTAGCCGTCTACTATTTAGTATGATTGTATTTAAGTAAATAACCATACACGAAGGGTTCTTTTTAATCTCCGTGTGAATAAGCTACAAACAGTTTAATCTCTCCTATTACAAGTCGCCTACAGATCAGATAGCTGAATTTAGGACTTTCTGCAGGATCTGCTGATCGATCACAAGCAGAGATTGATCACAGTTCAGATCTTAATCGACTGAAAGATATTCAACACTTTTGTTGTTGATGAGTTGATGGTAATAACTTACGTATTAGTTGTTGATTAAGTTCATTTCCAATGTTCGTTGTTTTAAAGTTTATTAGATAGTTTCTAAACAAAAACAAACAATTCTTTTACTATTAAGCCTCAATTGTGCTTCGATGATTCTATGCAGAATTATTACAATCATTCGATTAATATTTTTCTAAATCTAAATGATTTCGAAAGGATTTACCATAAATTTATAATTGGGGTTTGTTTTGTAAAACTTATAATTATTTATAATTACAGAAAAATTTATGAATTATAAAAAAAGTATTTTTTTTATTTTAGACAAAAATCTATAAAATGAGAAAACAAATAGCAAAATTTTTTGTACTCGTCATTGTCACTGTTGTCTCAGTTGAGGAAATTTCTGCGAACAGCTACAGCGTCATTGATGATGTAGAAGTTTCGATTGTTGGTAGTAAGTACTCAAGAAATTTTAAAAAATTTATTTACCATTAACAGATGTTTCAATTATATCGCTTAGATAAATTTAAATGTGACAAAATGGATTGCCCTTCAGATGCTGATCGCTGTGAAGTTGAAAAATATAAAAATTCTGAAAACCCATCAGAGTTAATACGAAAAAATACTTGTTTTTCAAAATCTGGTTCTATTTTAAAAACAAACTCTGAAAAATCTGCAATTGATCCAAGGAGTAATGTCTCACTTCGTGTGATTGCATACAGAAATGGAAACATGGTTAATTTAAACACTGCAAGCTATTCTACTACAGGCGATGGAAAACAAATTAGCTTTAATTACGATCCTGTAGTTGCGGAAAATATACAAAAGAATCTACAGCACACTTTACAAACTGTTCAGGAAAATATAAAGGCCATGAATGAGCAACTACAACATCAACTCCAGACTTTAAATAATTTGAAAATATTTCCGAATGGATTATTTTAAATAATTTTTTATGATACGTATATACATAAATATTTCAACATTTATACAGACATTAATTCATATATATATGTGAACGAGCAACTTAACCGATAAATTTTAAATAAAATTCGTTTATAGAAATACTTAGTTTTATTTTAGTCTATCGGATAATCACTTAGATATTCAAAACTCTAAAAGCCTTATGTAGATAATTATGAATAAATTCACTTTAAATAAAAAAGTAACAATTAAGGATTTTTCGATCACAAATTCTTCATCCATATGTTGATCACAAATCTTTAACTACTTTTACTAGGATTAAACTCTGAATTCGCGTCACCATTCATGAGTACCTATATGGTGAAAATTTCTTACTGAACAGATTATTCGATAGTTATTTTTCCATACGGTTCCATGCAGTCTTAATTGTGTTCATTAAAAATAATAGTAATGCTATATAACTACAATTCATCTGCTTTATTTCTGATAGTTCAGAAGTAAACAGAAGTAATTATCAATACAAATAAAATCACGTTCAACAACTTCAAAACAGATTTCCGGAAATTAAGATCTCTTATCTCTCCCTCCAATAAACTATATAAAAATATATCGAATTACTGCTTGGAGTTCAGTCGTTTAAAGTTGCGAACAGAAACGGAGTAAAGGTGACACTTTTGGATAAAGCAGACACTCATCCAAGTATTCATATTTGTCAGTTTAAATAATTTCAATAAAATATTAATAATTTATAATTATTAGAACAATATTCTTTTAAAATAATAAATTTTAAATTACATAAAATTATAACTAAAATTAGTATTAGTGAAAAGTAAAGCAAGTGAACAATCTCACGTATGTTAACATTTTGATTTTTAATGTACCATAATTAGAAAAATATAAATAATAATTATTTCTTAAAAAATTTTTTATTAAGAACTATGGTATTATTATATCGAAATTCATGTCTAATACAGAAGACAGATTTTCAACATTTTTTTTGAAGAAATCAAAATTGCCCGTAAAACTTTTATTTAATTAATTATATAAGATTTGTTACTTCAAAATACAGTTGAAAAAAACAATTTTTAATATAATATTAATGAAACTAGAACATTTTGTTATATTCAACAGTTTTGAATATCAGTGATTTACAGTTTCGTGATCCATTCTCTGTTTCAATATAAGAGACAGTATATAAATCGGGATGTACTACTTCTGTATAGTTTATTACAAGGGTAGTCCTATTTTTTATACCAGCCATCCACTTTCGTATCTCTATTAGTAGTAAAATTTCTTAATGTCTACCTGCGGCTCCACTGAAATAGTGCTTCTAGTGTTAAAGAAACGAAGTAACTTTTATTAATAAAACTTATAATACAGTAAATAGAGTTACTGGTAGCGAATAAAATTAATAGTATTGTAATTGATAATAATATATATAATAATTATTTTATATTAATTGGTCATAGAATCTCCTTACCGGGTCTCGACCTATCTCAGCATTTGTTGCTTCTGCTGCGTTTTTGCGCTTTCTCCAGTCTCATGCCACTTTACCTTCTTCCTCCACATACTGCTTCAAATACTTTTTTGCTGGATCAACTTCATCAATTCCCATGACATCACCAAGCCAGCAGCTGCTGTATCTTAATTTGCTGAATTATATCAATTATTCTATCACGAATCAAATTGTGATGAAGCCGGACAGCTCGTGATTTATTCGGATGCGGTAGTCGTCCGCAACTCGTAGAGGACCAAAGATCTTACGAAAAACTTTTCTCTCCAAAACTCCCAGTGCTGCTTCACCATTCGGTGATAACGTCCATGTTTCTCTGCCATACAGATGCACAGATCGTATGAGCGACTTATAGATCGTAAATATTTTTTGTCGAGTGCAAGCTCTACATCCCAATTGCTTATTGATTTCTTAATAGCATCTATTAGCAATTGTGATTCTTCATCTAATCTCCAGACTGACATCATTTTTGTTTTTTGCGGAGGTGCCAATGTAGTGAAATGTTTGACAAGTTCGTAAGTATAGTCGCCAGCCACTAACTTGGCATCCGAGAGACGAATATTTCTACCAGTAGTCGACATGTGTATACGTTTTACGTTCATTTACCGCTAAACCCATCCTTCCAGATTCCTTTTTGACAGTAGCAAAGGCAGCTGTAACATCACGGTTGCTACGCCCAATGATACTACTGTTGCCGGCATTCCTGTTTCTGCACATCTCAACTTCTTCCCGCTTGCACCTTTCGTCTCGTTTCTTTCGTCTAAATATCTGCCTCTCTACCTTACTCATATTCCGATTCTGTTCTCGCGTGGTTTTTCACAGCAGTAGTTTGGCGACACTTCCCATCACTTCATTAGTTTCGGCGTGGGGGACGTTGGAAACCACTGACATCTGCCGCAGTTGTGCGTACGTAGTGAAAGATATGTCCCTATTGGCAATTGCGGGACGGAACGGTTGATAGTTTAATCAGCTACAGCGTTGAGCGGCGAAGACTTTGGAAGTCTCTCCTGATGACAGCTTACCGAGGTCAAGTTTTTTTTTGTATAGAAAGCGTACGTTGTTGGCGCTACTAAGGTGCATGCTTACCTTAGCTACGACAAAGTAGTGGTCTGAATCGATATTTGGAGCACGAAATTAACGCATATCCAACACATTTAAAGCGAGCCGAACGTGAACCATGAAATGATCAATCTGATTTCGTGTTGATTGATCGTACTAATTGTTGTCTCATAAATATCGCCGTATGAGAATTTAGTGCTACATACTACCATGTTTCGCGCCATATTAATTTTCGGGAGTCTTGCATAGAAGATACCTTTGATTAAATCGTCTTTTTCAATTGTCGGCTCGTGAGGGGTTGTTGAGCGATGTTGAACAATTTTCTCTTGTTACGAAGTGTAGAATGTGTGAATCACTGCACTGATTTTGACACTCTCTTGCTTACCACAAAACCTCATCCAAATTCAAGCCTTTTTGCATGGCAGTTGTATTATACATCCCAGTTTGCTCTTTTATAGCAGCTTTATTCTATCCATCGCATTTCCTGAATGGCAGTGAAGTCAACATCTCATTTATTGAGGTTTTCCGCCAGTTGAATAGAGACAGCTTATTCGTAAATCATTGTCAGTTAAGCATTTTCATGGTCATCAACTTTAACGGTTTCCAATTTCAAGGCATCCTGTCAGATGCCTAACGGGTACCATACCCACAGGGATGTCCAAGAGCGCCACGTAAAGGTTGTGTTACAATCAGACAGGTTGCTTTATGTACTCGCTCTTAGGGGCTCATGGCCCCTCAAGGAATAACAAATCATTTTTTTTTATTGAATATTTTTCTAAACCTAAATGATTTCGAAAGGATTTACCATAAATTTATAATTGGGGTTTGTCTTGTAAAACTTATAATTATTTATAATTACAGAAAAATTTATGAATTATAAATAAAGTATTCTTATAAAAATTTCTCTATTTTAGACAAAAATTTATAAAATGAGAAATCAAATAGCAAAATTGTTCGTACTCGTCATTGTCACTGTTGTCTCAGTTGAGGAAATTTCTGCGGACAGCTACAGCGTCATTGATGATGTAGAAGTTTCGATTGTTGGTAGTAAGTACTCAAGAAATTTTAAAAAATTTATTTACCATTAACAGATGTTTCAATTATATCGCTTAGATAACTTTAAGTGTGACAAAATGGATTGCCCTTCAGATGCTGATCGCTGTGAAGTTGAAAAATATAAAAATTCTGGAAACCCATCAGAGTTAATACGAAAAACTTCTTGTTTGTCAAAAACTGGCTCTATTTTAAAATCGAACTCTGAGAGTTCTTCAATTGATCCAAACAGTAATGCCTCACTTCGTGTGGTTGCGTACAGAGATGGAAACATGGTTAATTTAAACACTGCGAACTATACAAGCGATGGCACAGGAGTTAACTTTAATTACGATCCCATAGTTGCGGAAAATATGCAAAAGAATCTACACCACACTTTACAAACTGTTCAGGAAAATATAAAGGCCATGAATGAGCAACTACAACATCAACTCCAGACTTTAAATAATTTGAAAATATTTGCTGATGGACAATAGATAATATTTTAAATAATTTTTTATAATACGTATATACATATGTATTTCAACATTTATACACATCTTTATTCATATATAATTCGTATATATATGTGAACGTCCAAAAACCAATAAATTTTAAATAAAATTCGTTTATAGAAATACTTAATTTTATTTTAATTCTAACGGATATTCACTTATATGAATTCGCATCTATATAGAGGAATTTCTTACTGGACAGATTATTCGATAGTTATTTTTCCATACAGTTCCATGCAGTCTTAATTGTGTCCATTAAAAATAATAGTAACGCTCAGTAGCGGGACGTCAGCTTTTTGACAAGGTGTTCACAATTTGATAAAAACAGAATTCCAACTACCAAAAAAACAATTTATTTAAATGTTCGCAGCCTGTGATCCACTGGTTTTTATGGTAAATAGCTGTAGGAAAACGGCCACAGATTTCGACATTTTTACATCAGGCACCAAATTCTTCATATCTGGAGTTTATTCATTTTATGAATTAAAAACTTTTTTTTCAGAAGATCGTTTTAAAAAATTATATTTGAATTAAATCTTTAATCACACATCCATTTCTAAATATTATTTTTCACTTCAAATTGTTTAATTTTTTTCCTCTTTCTTTCTTTAGGATTGCAATAATGACTTTGTTTCTGGTTTATTTCCAACCTCTACATAAGAGTAAGAAACTCTCATGCATTCATTTACTCTTTTACTTTGTATTTACTATGAGCGGTTCAGTTTTTTTATTGAACCTTTTGCCCATATAAAACGGCAACCGCGACTTTGATTGTATTTGCACGCTTTGTATGTTATGAGCTTGGAACTATTTTACGTACATATTTTGCGGGGCTTGCTTTCTATTTTATTTTTATATTTGTTTGTATGTTTTGTGTCGTGTATTCAATATTGAATATAGTGCCAATATGAATGTTATTACATTTGCATGTTTTGTAAGCAACGCGGTGCAGTTTTTAATCTGAACCTTAGTATATTTTAAGAGGAATGTATTTTCTCTTTTATTAATTATGAGTAATGTTGGGTGTAACATATGTATGTGTGGTTTTGTTTGTATTATACGTTTTGTGTTTATGTTAATATGTTTGGAAAAGCTATTACAAAAAATGTTAAGTAGCCTCCTAATAGAGAGAATATTTACCTAATAAAAAAAAGATCTAAAAAGGAAGCTTTGTTAAGGTGTTCAGTGAACACTCTGAACTATTCGTCGTCTCGCCTCTGGTAACGCTATATAACTACAATTCATCTGCTTTATTTTTAATAGCTTAGAAGTAAATAGAAGTAATTATCAATATAAATAAAATCACGTTCAACAACTTCAAAACAGATTTCCGGAAATTAAAATCTCTTATCTCTCCCTCCAATAAACTATATAAAAATATATCGAGTTACTACTTGAAGTTCAGTCGTTTAAAGTTTCGAACAGAAACGGAGTAAAGGTGACACTTTAGGAATAAAGCAGACACTCATCCAAGTATTCATATTTGTCAGTTTAAATAATTTCAATAAAATATTATTAATTTATAATTATTAGAACAATATTCTTTTAAAATAATAAATTTTAAATTACATAAAATTATAACTAAAATTAGTATTAGTGAAAAGTAAAGCAAGTGAACAATCTCACGTATGTTAACATTTTGATTTTTAATGTACCATAATTAGAAAAATATAAATAATAATTATGGTACATTAAAAATCAAAATGTTAACATACGTGAGATTAAATTGTGATGAAGCCGGACAGCTCGTGATTCATTCGGATGCGGTAGTCGTCGACAACTCGTAGAGGACCAAAGATCTTACGAAAAAGTTTTCTCTCCAAAACTCCCATTCGGTGATAACGTCCATGTTTCTGTGCCATACAGATGCACAGATCGTATGAGCGACTTATAGATCGTAAATATTTTTTGTCGAGAGCGAGCTCTACATCCCAATTGCTTATTGATTTCTTAGTAGCATCTATTAGCAATTGTGATTCTTCATCTAATCTCCAGACTGATATCATTTTTATTTTTTGCGGAGGTGCCAATGTAGTGAAATCTTTGACAAGTTCGAAAGTATAGTCGCCAGCCACTAACTCGGCATCCGAGAGACGAATATTTCTACCAGTAGTCGACATGTGTATACGTTTTACGTTCGTTCACTGCTAAACCCATTCTTCCAGATTCCTTTTCGACAGTAGCAAAGGCAGCTGTAACATCACGGTTGCTACGCCCAATGATACCACTGTCGCCGGCATATGAAAAGAACTGGACACATTTGTAAAATATTGTTCCATTACGATGAACACCTGCCGTACGCATGATCACTTCCGTGATGAAATTGAGAACATCATATATTATAAGGGTTCACCTTATAATAAGCCTCGCATAATATATTGAAAGAGCTACGGGTATTGCTCAACGTCATTCTGCAGAGTTGTACTAACTTTTTAGGAATATCGAGCTTAGACAGTACAGGGTAAATGAGATCGCTTATGGGACTATCAAAAGGTGCTCGAATCGAAACGACAAAAAGTGATAAGTATCGATGTTATAGTATGTTCATTGACTTTTTCAGGATTTACCGTAGTGTGAATATCTGGTGATACTCGTACCCGCACTCATAAGATCCAATCAGTGAGTGAGCATATGGCTTCAATCTCAATCTTCACACAGTATAGTTGAAAGGATCTTGTACGCGACAGGTATTAGGCCGATCCCGCGATAGTTGTCGGTAATCGTCAGATCGATTTTTTTCAAAACAGGACAAAGGGTACTGAGATTTTAATCGCTGGGCATAATTTCATTCAACCATGTGCTACAGATAAGCTGATACATGCTACCTATCGGCATATCGCCGCCGATTTTGAACAATTCTGAGGGTAGGGCTTCTGCGTCTGCCGCTTTGTTGTTCTTTAGTCACTGTACAACAACACGCACTTCGTTATGAATATGTGGTGAAATTTCCACACCATCATTTTCGATTGGAGTCTCAAAAAACATTTTACCAAAGACGGAATTAATGTTATCATCGGAAAATAGTAATTTTGAGAAATGTTTCTTTCATAGTTTCACTACACTCTGTGTATCCGTAATCAGATTACCATTTTTAGCGTTACAGGTTGATGCTCCAAGTTTAAAGCCCTGAGTCATACGGTTGACTTTCAGATAAAATTTACGGGCATCATTCCTGTTTCTACACATTTTAACTTCCTCTCACTTGTATTTTTTGTATAGAAAGCGTACGTTGTTGGCTCTATTAAGGTGCATGCTTACCTTAGCTACGACAAAGTAGTGGTCTGAGTCGATATTTGGACCACAAAATTAACGCATATCCAACACATTTGAAGCGTGCTGCGTGTCAACCATGAATTGATCAATCTTATTTCGTGTTGATTGATGGTACTTATTGTTGTTGTTGAATCTAGTGCTTCATACGCCGACGACAAAGATTGAGCTGGCATTTTCCCTGTCAAATGCAATTGGACACGTTGCCTTGTGTACTCGCTCCTGGGAGCTCGTGGCCCTTCATGGAATAAGAAACAATTTTTTTATTAAGTTTTAATTTTGCTTCGATTATGCAGAATTATTACAATCATTCGATTAATATTCTTCTAAATCCAAATGATTTCGCAAAGATTTATCATAAATTAATAATTGGGGTTTATTTTGTAAGATTTTTGTTTTATAATTATAAAAAATTTACAAATTATTAATAAATTACTTTTTTTAGACATTTTTTTATTGTAGACAAAAATCCATAAAATGAGAAATCATATAGCAAAATTTTTCGTACTCGTCATTGTTACTGTTGCTTTAGCTAAGGATTTTTATGACGACATCTACTCCATCATTGATGATGATCTAGAAATTGGGGTTGAGTTTAGTAAGTACTCAAGACACTTTAAAAAATTTATGTACCATTAACAGATATTTCAATTATATTGTTTAGCGAATTATAAGTGTAACAAAATGCATTGCCCTTTAGGAACTGATCACTGTCAACTTGAAAAATATACAGATACTGAGAACCCATCAAATTTAATACGAAACACTACTTGTTTTTCAAAAACTGGCTCTATTTTAAAATCAAACATTGAGAGTTCTAAAAACAAAAAACATACAAGAAAATCTACATAACACTTTACAAACTATTCAGGAAAATATAAGGGCCATGAATAAGCAACTACAACATCAACTCCAGTCTTTGAATAATTTGAAAATATATGCTAATGGACTATAGATAATATTTTATAATATTTTATATATACATATATAATTCAACATTTATACACATCTTTATTCATATATATATGTGAACGTTCAACAACCAATAAATTTTAAATAAAATTGCTTTATAAAAATACTTAATTTTATTTTAATTCTAACGAATATTCACTTATATGAATTCGCATCTATATAGAGGAATTTCTTACTGGACAGATTATTCGATAATTATTTTTCCATACGGTTCCATGCAGTCTTAATTGTGTTCATTAAAAATAATAGTAATGCTATATAACTACAATTCATCTGCTTTATTTTTGATAGTTCAGAAGTAATTATCAATACAAATAAAACCACGTTCAACAACTTCAAAACAAATTTCCGGAAATTAAAATCTCTTATCTCTCCCTCCAATAAACTATATAAAAATATAGCGAATTACTGCTTGGAGTTCAGTCGTTTAAAGTTGCGAACAGAAACGGAGTAAAGGTGACACTTTTGGATAAAGCAGACACTCATCCAAGTATTCATATTTGTCAGTTTAAATAAATTCAATAAAATTTTAAAAATTTATAATTATTAGAACTATATTCTTTAAAAATAATAAATTTTAAATTACATTAAACTATAATTAAAATTAGTATGATCAATGAAAAGCAAAGCAAGTGAACAATCTCACGTATTACATAACGTAAAAAAAAATATTAAAAAATATTTAACTTAGTAAATGCATATTAGTAACTCTTATTAAAGAAGGGGTAAATCAGTGAATTACGTGCAATTTATAGAATTTTAACTTGTTTTCTTTTTTTCTTGTCTATATAATACTTTACATAATATAATAAAATTGATATATGTAGTATTGTTTGAGTTTTACTAATAATACGTAATACATTATTATGGCCGTGGGTGAGTTCAAGTAAATTGAGATAAAGTATATTGAAATTTCCTAGGGATTTTTTGCACTGCACATATTTACACTTATTTATTATTTTTCTTTTAAAAGTTTTCAAGTTTTTTTTTTATTTATTAAACATCTTGTAAAACTTTCATAATGGTAACACCTAATTTACCAAATTTTTACTCGAAATTTTGGTAAATACCAAAATTATCTGTCAATTATATCTGTCATAAATATATAATTCACTATTTACCTCAATTTACCATCAATTAACTCGAACTTGCACACGGCCTATAATGTTATTTTATTTCAATTAAATGTGATAATTATACATAAAAACATATTATTAATTCACATTTAATTATTTCTCGTGTACTCTCTTACTATTTCGTACATAATTAAAAATCATTTCCATTTTATAAATACATTTTGAATAACATTTATTTTTTCAAGCGCGATCAATGCTTTTTATGCCGAAATATTTGCTGTCAAAAACACAGATCAACGGATTTCAGAAGAAAAATCTACAAAATCAACAGATTGCAATTTTCTCCAACACAACAGCTTCCAATATCTTATCCAACAATAGTACAAACCCACTAGTAACTAGTGAAGAGAATAAAATTCTCAAACAAAAAGCTAGACAAGTTTTATAAGTATCCTTAGCAGAGGAATAAATACTGTTCTCATTAAATGATACTCAAAAATATATTCATAATCATTTTCTAAGAATAATAGCACAATAAAAATCTGGGAAAAGTACGAGGTGCTGTAACAATTTCGACCTAATACGGCTAAAATACAATTTATCAAGAACAAAAATTCTGATAGGCAAAGCAAAAAAGAAAATTATAAACCTCGTTGCGGTGGAGAGTTATCTAATTATCTAATAAGTTATCTAATTGAGCATAAATTTCAACTAGATATGAAAGAAATGTAGAAAGAAAGAGGGTAAACTGAACAACCGACCAATTTCTTTACAATTGCGCAGGCTTGACTATATTGGGCATTCCACTATGGAAATTTACCAACTATGAGCTTGGTAGATATACCAAATATGGAAGATACACCCCAAAAAAATTATATGTTTTTTCAAAGGCGCAGTTGGTTTGGAAACTTGGATTTTTATGCCCGAATGTGGAGTAATAAAACGAAGTGTATGCGCTATTTAGAAAACAGAGGGAACATAGCAGCTACTAAAACAACAAGTGTAACCCTGAAGAGTCTTGAAATAACAAATGTTAATATTAGATAATACTTGAACGTTTTTTTATTATGTACTTATTATTCTATATTTCAGGAAATAAAAGATCACATCGGTAAATTATTATTACTAAACATTGGTCAATGTTAATGGCATAAAAGATATACTTGATATTTGATTGTTCTCAAAAATAATAAATGATTCAGAAATTCAATAGAGGAATGGAACTTAAAAATATGTGCTTTGAAATAGATAATTATATCTGAGCTTGCTATAACCACAAACCGGATAAAAGAAAACGAGTACATAGAGAGGTGTATAGAGACGGTAGAATCTAGAATATAAGATGCAGAACATAAAATGCTTCGATGAATAAAATTATTGTAATTATTGTTACTTCTTGTTTTATAAAACATTTCTGCAGAGGACCAGGTTAAAGAAGAGATCATATAAAAAATATATAGGTTTTTATGGAAATCTTTTCGCTAGTTTGACAAATGTTAGGTTGATTGTCTAATAGTGGATGCCATAAATATAAAATAAAGATTTTAGATTAAGATGTGAAAAAGGGAAAATCTATAATTCAGATTTTATCCATTAACTCATAATATAAGTTAATAGATTATTTGTATTGAGATACAAATTATGAAATTAAAAATTCTTTTTTTTATAATATTAAGAAAACTTAAAATACGACACAGACATATTATAGTAAAATATATTATAGTAAAAACAATATAAGTATAATATTGCTGAAAGAAATAAAATAGACTTCATTTTAGGTTTATTATTATTAATTAATAATAGACTATGCATGCACACCGACCTAAAAGTTCTTGACTAAAACAATTCTTGACTATTTATAAATCTCGTAATTGCTCTGGACTTAATTTTACCGATTTAATTTGGGACTAAGATTCCGCTTCTAAGGTAGTCGAGTCTACGTCTTACCACCGCTATGCAGTTGCATAGAATATGTTCTGATGTTTCCTTCCTTCTTGACTGATGCATGCCTTTTTGGGCTCTCTCATTTTGGATTTACTCACATTATTGGATATAACAATAGCGTAATAGTCTGACTATTAGTATTTATACTAATAAATACTTTCAGCTTTTCCTAAAAATAGCTGTGTTAACCTAGACATAATAGAGTAGTGATTTATCTAACAGTTTTTTTAAGGTTTTAGAGTTCATAATTTTCAATAAATGTTAGATGGAATGACTAAATCCATTTTCTGACGACCGCATGAACATATACCAGAATCGTTTTATATATAGAAATAAATTTAAACCTGTTTAAAATTGTTAACCTGTGAGCATTATTATTCTTGACTCGAATAAATCGTTAGGAAAGTTGAAAACTCTTCGCGCTCTTGTGAATAATGAAGTCAATTTCGATTGGTCAGATTCATATGGTATATGCAAAAATCCACTATCAGACTTGTGTGTCTAAAACGTTAGATAATTGCCTGCAAAAGCATCCTATCGTCAGCTTCATTTGTTGACTCAGTGCGATTCCCGTCGATGTTCGCGAACATAAAATCAAAATTCAGAGTCTTATTCAGGAATCGTTGAAATGTCTGAATAGCATTACGTAGACTAAAGGTAATCAAATTGAACTCAAAAATGAAGTTGCAATTACTATACTAAGGATGTCAGCTGGCGTAAAGGAACTCTATAAATAAGCATAAATATTATTTGTGACAGATATGATATTTCAAATAAATGGTATCTGTTATTGATTTGGTTTTGTTTGCAATTTGATCATGCGAAAATGACAATAAGATTTCATTCTTTCACTACGAGTATAAAGAGAGTTGACAAATTCCCGTTTGCTCCAAAAACTGGAGTTACTGTTTTGCATCCTCATTGCTGCCATCACTGTATTGAATTAAGTTAATCATTTGTAATAACCACAACCACAAGGATTTTAGTCAACAACTCTGATTGAAATCTGATTTTACTACATAACATGAATACCGTACTCTCGTAAATTCTACATTCCAATTCAATTTTCGTGAAACTCAGTTACACAGTAAAATGCTAGTAAGAATGGTTACTGCAATTTAATTGGATATTCTGCGTTTAAAACATATGTTATCACAAATTTATACACCTTCATGTATTCTAGATATTGAAAACTGATACTAGTGGTCATAGGTATAAGATTGAAAAAGGTTTAATAAGCGCTTGAAGGTCCAACGCTTACTGATATCAGTTGGGGTTATCAAATTTTAATCTGTAGTCATACAGGCTCAAATACAAGATAAGCGAAGTTTCCTCCATGTTATTTCATCATTATGATCTATGAGGTCATTATAATCTATTGCTAACATTTGACAACTTTATTTTCTGTGATTCAATTGTTGTAGTTAAAAAAAAGTTAGAATTACTTTAAAATGTTCGCCTTCCTACTTAATTTTAACTACTTTGAAAAGTACAGCTTAAAAATCGTATAAATTTTTTGATCCCATAAGGCAAATAGCGTCTTGTCGCACCAACACCTGTCGTAGTTGGTTCAATATGCAATGAATATTTTGGGAAATAAAGTTTTTTGAACTAGCTTGTTATCCTACATTTGGACTATATTTTTTTCATTTCATTTCCCCAGCTTTCATTACCGCCCCTAAACCAAGTTTGTTCTCTTTTTCAGAAAATATACGTGCGGAATTGAATTCTCACTGGTCCCTTTTTTTATATTTTTTAAGAACTTACCATAGTTTAATTTTAAATGTAAACTTTTGGTTTTTATTCAGTAAAAGTTCAACTTTTTGGGAAACCTTATTTTTGTTTATTTGATTTGGGTATATTCTGTTTTAAACCAGCTTCTTTTGAGCCAGTAGTTTTATAAATCCACACAGAGATCTGGGGTATGATTTAAAATTTTTAAATTGCATTCTAAAGTGTTTATTTTACCTAAAAGTATACTTCGTTTATTTGCAACAGTTACGATTGAACTTGGGAAAATTAAAATAACACTAGTTTACAGCTAAAAATTTCCAAAGACGAGACTTATATTTCCTATAGGAAAATTTTTCGTAAACTCGAAAATCACAACGATTTTTTTTTCCTGTGTACCGTTTTCGAGTTATTTGCAAAAAACCGTTGTTTTGACTTTTCTCAAAACATCACCCTGCATATGGCGCCGTAACTTTATTTTTGAAGTTACCACAGTAGTGCGTGATACATTAAGACCGAAAAGTTTTCGGAAATTCTCATTTAAAATTCGCGCGCTGTATATTTTTCGATATTTTAAGTTTATGTAGTTTGGCAGCAATGAAGGACAATTACTATGCCAAAAATGAGCGCGATCTGTCAGACAGTTCGTTTACGGCAGCTGTTGAAACCAGTTCACCTCAGTAGTGCGTTGCGAAAAAAACAATGGAAAAAAATATTGAACAAAGAGTTTGCATCAAATTTTGTGTTTCGAACGAAATTTCGTGTGCAGAATCGTTGCGAATGCTACAAAAGGCTTATGGGGAATCAGTTTTATCGAAAACTCAAGTTTATGAGTGGTACAAAGCCTTTCAGGACGGTCGTACGACCGTCGAAGACATTTCGCAACGCACTACTGAGGTGAACTGGTTTCAACAGCTGCCGTAAACGAACTGTCTGACAGATCGCGCTCATTTTTGGCATAGTAATTAAGGACAGGGCTGCCAAACTACATAAACTTAAAATATCGAAAAATATACAGCGCGCGAATTTTAAATGAGAATTTCCGAAAACTTTTCAGTCTTAATGTATATCAAATTAAAGGTGAAACTTGTACAAACATTTTAAGCTACATAACGTTAATGTAACTTATTTAGTTTCGCTGCTATAGCTGGAAATGTACAGATTAAAAATGTTTGATTTTCAATGTGATTGGACTCCCACAAAAATATTTTAAAAAACTTATTTTTTTAATTGATATAAAGACTGTTGTAGTACAAACATTTCGAGTGGCTTAACATTAAAATCGAATAAAAATTTCACAAGTTATTCGCCATTTTCCAAATTTGCCCAAAATAATGGTTTTTATTAACAAATCAGAAAAATCATTATTTCACATTTATTTTGTAAAATTTGGAGGGCAAATCAAAATTGTATTATGTAAAATTGTACAAATTTTATTTAAAAATTAAAAACTAATATTATTAAATCTTAATATATTGCATTTTATATAGTGTTGCCGGCGTGAAAAAAAAAAAAATTTACCGATTGGATAAGCGCGGAAATCACAGTTCCCGTGATTAAGTTCTTTTTTGATCACAAGGTATATTTATATATTATATAATTATATTTTATACATTATTAATAATTTATATGTTCATTTAACAATGGAAACTGAATAAAAACTGGACAATAATCTACCGATTATTAAAAACACTAGAAACAATTTTTTATTAGAAAAATTAAAAATTATGTGATATGTAATAAAATTGGCTTAATTTTGTATAATGAATTTATTGAACTAAATACTAAATGCCTTCATTGGTAAAAGCAGCTGATAAATGTTATTCTTAAATAAAAACTAAAGTTTTAGGAAAAGACTTTAAATAATGTAGGAGACAAAAGCAAAATACTGACTTAAATCATGTAAACCCACATTATTCTTAAGACTCGTCAACGAAAACAACATGAAAACAACGGAAATATAATTTGCAGGTTATTGGTGATTAACCAGCTGCCATGCTGGGGCATCTGTCTAAAGACGTTGGTCAATATATTTGCTCTATAGATGATAGTTGTTTTGTATTACTTAATACAGGTCGCGAGCTTGTAGAATCAGATAATGGTTTACTTTCAACAGTTGCACATAAACTTGGTCCAAATGCAAATACTTGCTATGCATTGGAAGGTGCTATATCAAATGCAGGATCAACTGTGTCGTGGTTAAAAGAAAGTTTAAAAATAAATACAGAAATAAATTCAAATGATAATGTAGTTGAGGTACTAAATACTTACCTTGGTGAAAATTCTATGATATCATCATCATGTTCGTCAAATATGTTAAATACTGATTGTGGATTAGCGTCGAAACGTTCTGAAATAACATTTGTACCTGCATTTAATGGGCTATATTCCCCATATTGGCGTTATGATTCAAGAGGGTATTTTGTTTAGAATAAAGTTAATACATTTTTGATTTGCTAATTGATTGACATTTAAGAATAATGTTGGGATTAACTAGTCAAACAACCGCACAAAATGTCACACAAGCTGCATACGAAAAATGCTCCAAAGTTTTGGAGCAATAGGATTAAAAATGACGTTGCGCCACTCGAGAAAAGTTGAGTAATAAGATATTGATGAGCAAAATCGGTTAAATATTATGCGCAAAACACAATAATTAGTTAACCGACAGTGCTCTGTTTTCTATTTCATACCTTTTAGCTGGCATGCACAATGCAATCGCAAATGTTTACAAGAAACGGAAGAAACATAAATAAAAAATAAAATAATAAGTTTTTACTTAATAATTTATATAGATATTTAAGTACAATTGAAAATGTAGTCAAAACAAGAATTTTTTCGTAAGCAAAGAGCAAATGGTCGTACAGGGAGTATGACTGAAGTTAATATCCTTTTAGCAAACGAAGCAAGACCGGCTAAAAATTCCATTGATTTTAATTGGAATAAATTCGATGAAGAAATTTGTCTCAAAATGGAAGCTGAATCTTTAGTCACAGTTCAACAAAATTGGGATAACGCGACAGAACTATTCAATTTATCACTCCTAGTTTAGTTTCCGCCCTTGACAAATGCAAGGTTTCGGATCGCTACGCTATACATATTTTATAGTAGTAGGTATGGCTACCTGTGGCGCCCAGGTGCCATCTAAGATTCTCGGCGAAATGGCGAAAATCATGTACTTACTAAAAATGTTTATTTTAAGAGATCAATTTACATATAACTCAAATGATTTGTACGAGAGATATACATTTTTATGGTAAGCATATGTGTGAAAATTTTAACCCACACTAGGTTAGGTTATGTTCGGAAGGCACGTGACAGTTGTCAGCACTTCTACTCGGTGACATATATTGCCCATTCGGATGCCCTCAAAAAATTTTACCAGGAGATGCGAGTTGCTAACCTTTATTATCTTTGTTAAATCATTTGGTTTGGACATTAAAGTAGCCTTGTCTGAAGTCCTGGACAGAGACACAGGAAATGGTTGATAGATTTTACCTCCTCTTCATCTTGGCAACTCCTGCTTAATCCAGTTGTTGGAACTCGCCACCGTTGCAGCATAAGCGCAATGGCACAGTGCCCCTTCAGTACTCCATAACGGACACGAACTGTAGGTTTGCTGAAGCCTAAAAGGCTTTTCGTTTTATTTTTGTCCAACTTAGGCCATACGATTCTAGCGCCCATACAGTCTTCGCGGTTAGTCTATAAATTGTTAGTCAAACTGTTCGTTGCATGTTATTTTTAAACATATCGTTGCATGTATTGAAAGCTCGGCCTCTCCTGTATGCAGTTCAGAACCTCTTCTGGCCATCTCATCTGCTAGTTCATTTCCTTAAATATAGCTATGTCCAAGTATTCGAAATGTACTATGTCCAGCAAAGAAAGACCTTATGATATTTGATGCTCATCAGTGAGTCGCGACATTTTAATACTATTTTGAAATTTAGATTCAACTGCTTTGAGTGCGGCCTATCTACAAAAAAGAGACAACAACAAAAGATATTGATTTATTTCAATACTCTCCAATAACACAGTTGGTGGTCCCTAGAAAAGTATTTTGCCATTTGCTTTGACTTACCAATATTATTAATGCTCTAAAATGAGGGTACTGAATTTTTTCCTTCATTATATTGGTTAAGGAATTAATGGCTTTTTAAGTTATGTATCTGTGGACCTATATCTGTAAAGGAAATATTTCTTGATGATATTTGGTAACGTTGTGCTAAAGAACTGTTAACACCAATGTAATTATTATAATCACAAATAGCAAGAATATGATTACGTATATATCCAAAATTTAAAGAAATAAAAAATAAAGAATAAATCAACAAAAATTAATGAAATTAAAAATTGTTATATGTTACATGATAAAAAATCTCTTTATATAGAAAAGGATATGTATGATAAATGAGTTTTTGGCTGATCATACAGCTGATTAAATTGTGCTGTATAGGCGTTATTCGTGCCATTTAAACATTTTTTTGTTTTTAATTAGTTATAAAGTATATAAAATAATATATATTTAAGACTACTAGTGCCAATCTGTACAAACTTGAAGCTTTGTCATTGGTTTGGTTGACATAAACGCATATACCATAGCTATATAACTGCACTCAATTTTGTTCATTCATTTTACAAATTTTTAATAATTATTTATTAGTAGAAAATATTTTTGAGTACATATACATTCTACTTGTTACATCTCGCTTTTATCTTTTATGAAATTATACATATATAATGTACACATATTCATATAAGCAGTTAACCTAAAATAATTAATTATTACAAACTAAACTATAGATTTCAGATTTCATATAACATTATTGTTAATTATATTACACCTGCTTTATATAACAAAGAACCTATACCTTCCAACGAGAAAACCAAATGGAAACTATAGGTAATAAATTTATCTTAAATCTGTAATTATCTTTATTCTGTTAATCTTCAACAGACATTTCAAAAATTATTACTTTCCGTCTTCTTTCCTGTTCCCTTCTCTCTATGTCGCTATTTCTCACATTATTTCAATTTATTATAACTTTATAAAAGTCTGAAGAGGTGCAACTCCAACTCATTTGATTTGAACCTGTGAAAAAGTGAAGTTTGAGAATATCAGAGGTATATATATTTTGCAAAGCCTCAATTTACAAATAAATTAGTGTTTTGTTGATAATTAACAAAAGTCTATTAAATATTTAATAATTAATCTGTTGAATAAGTTGAATTAATATATTGTACTTGAATGGATATTTTAAAATTCAAGAACAATTGGTTCTTTGAGTTGAAACTTTGTGTTTGTTAATATTATTAATAATTAATTTTATTAATTAATTCAATTACTACAAAATTAGATTAATTTAATTAATACAAGAATACATACTGCCTCTTCTTAGTAGCAGGCTAAGGGTGGTTTTTTTAAACTTTAAGAAATATTTTTTTTAGTTAGTATTTTCATAGCTTAGATTATGAGCAGAATAAATATAAAAACCTATAAAAAAAAATATATACATTTGTCTACTATATATTCATAAACATACCATATAAGTAGAGTTTAAAAATTCCGTCACTGCATGCAAGTGACAATTAATTAAGCAAACTGACTTAAGAAATATCGGATTTAAGAGGTTTAGTATCGGATTGAATATGGGCAAGTTATCAATTTAATTTATTTTTCAAAACATTTTATTACCATAGGTAGGTAGGTAGGTTGAAGTGACGCCTTGTTTCCAAAAAGCCCACTTAATTTCAAATAATGGCTCATTTTAGTACCACAGAAATAGCATTAGAAAGTGCATAAATTGAAATCAGTATACAACGAATCCCAAACGAGGTAGCGACTCACCCATTAGGTAAAGGAAAACCAGCCTGACAGCTTTACAAATTTGACTAGGTGCCTAACATTATAGGACGACAGCTCAGGTCGGTGAGAAAAGGGGCCCGAAGATTTTTGATCTTCTCTTAACTAAAGAAGGGCATTGATGGAGCACGGTCTCCTCCTCTTCCTCATAGCCACAACCTCGACATAAGTCATTGTAGGGTAGACCTAGTCTCATTGCATGACTTTCTATTTCGCAGTGATCCGTCAGTACATATACCGCAGAGCTGATCAGGTTTCGCATTACTTGAAGTAACTGACTAATGCGTTTCTTGTCTAAATTAGACCAAGTCAACCAAGTCAGTTAGATATAGTGTGAGACTTTGATGTCAATGCACCATTTGGCTATTTGAAGTCAACGTGTCAGTGTTTTTTCACCGGTGAAAATTGTTGAACAACCTGCAGTCATTAAATTCTTTAAATTAGAATTTCGTACACATAGGAAATACTTTCAAAATATTGGATTGGTTTGTTAAAAAATGTTTGGGAAGCGTATTAAAAACTACTTTATGATTGGTAACTCGGACGAAATAAACCGGGAACAGTGGTATGTTGCGATTTTCATAATATTTTCGTTGACTGTGTACGAGTGTTTAAGATGATGTTAGTTTACATGATTTAAGTCAGTATTTCACTTTTCCCCATGCATTTTTTAAGGTCATGTTCTAGTCTTTATTTCTTTATTGCGCATAATATTTATATATAGATATATATATGTATATAGATTTTATTCGAACAGTAGTGAACTACAACAACAAAAATTTATTTTATATTATTTTAATTAATTGAATTTTTAACTGACCATACGGCTTTTTCGAGTATTTCCAAACACCAATCATCAGTGATCTTGGAAATAATTCTTGTATTTAATTATTCATAAATAATTTTTTTTTAGACTGCATACCAGGAATCGAACTCGTGTCTTGACAAATTTGAAGCTCAGGACTGACCCAATATATATATATATATATATATAAATTTAAGTGCTTAATAAATGAAATGTTTAATTTTGTATGAAAAATCGTTTATATACCGTTTATTCGCTAAAATTTTCTTATAAATTTATCAAATTTATGTAAACAATTTTTCATTTCAAATTAGACAATTTATCAAGCAGATAAATTTATACGTTTATAAGGTTTATAAGACATTTATCAGTTTAGATGAGTACCCCTAAGATGTGTATAATTTTTTTTTTTTAGTCATTTGAAGGGATAAAATTATTTGAAGAGAGACAAAACATAATTTACAATTTAAAGAGCACAGAAAAAGAGAAATAACAAGAAAATGTGTAAAAAGATTAAATGAGTAGCTAGATTAAAGAGATCACAACTTTCAATTGAATGCGTCTGCTATCCAAGACATGGATGCTTCCAGTCTTCGAGACATATACACAAAGACATTTGGCTAATTTGTTCAAAAATGTCTTCGAAAACCATCATACCTTTGGATCGATCGGTCTTCAAGCACGTATCCATGTCTTCAAGACGTCTTCGATGACGGATCGATCCGTTTCCTACTGGGTTATGAAAATATTAACGAAAACAGAAATATTTATTTATGCAAATAAAGTTACATTGAACAACTGTAAAACAGATTTTCAAAATTAAGAATCGCTTTCTCTGTTGTACCAATTAACTACATAAAATTTTGTTAAGTTATTGCTTAGAGTTCTTTATATTTGAA